TTAGTATTATTGGTTATTATTGGATTATTGGTATATTGTTTTTTGTCTTTATAGTTGGATTAACGACCCACAGTAATCTCTTCCTGTTGTTTCCTCTCATTTTGAGGTTACGGAGCTCTGCACTCATTTTAAAGAGTGCATAGTTGTACACCCACACATATCTGTGCCATAAGTTATGAAATAATTTACCCAAACTGCATCTCAGAAGTTGCTCACTTCCTGCGTGAAACGACTGTTGCACGCCAAAGTAAAAGTATAGTCAAACAGATTCAGTCACATTTGAATCTGATATTATTTTAATGTATTTTTAATGGGTGGGCAGCGTGGTGGTGCAGTGATTAGTGCCGTGTTGATGCTGATTTCTTGAGTATGAAACTATTTGTGGAGTTTGCACGTTCTCTCCAGCTTGCTTATGCAGTCCAAAGACAAAGATGTCTGATGAATTGGCTGTAGATGTAAAGCTGTGCCTGAATGGCTGTCTGTCTCTTTGTGTTAGCCCAGCATCGGACTAGCAGCCTGCCCTATGCTCCAGCCTCCAATATGTCCCTGAATTGGATAGGAGAAGATGTGTGGAGGCATGGCATTTTTGATGCAAACTATTGCAGATCACTCTGATTATCACCACTTTTTGGTAGCCAAAAAATTTAAAGTATCTTTGACTGGTTGGACAGTTGGAGCACTTATCTTGTGCAGGAATTTTATTATAATTTATTATTAGCTTATGAACCATATATAAATGGATTAACAAAACCTTGCAAAGGATTTATTAAAACATTGGTTACTACTCATGAGCTGTGTTTAAACAGTGATTTTTCTATAACATTTTTAAAATTCCAGTAGTTTCATGCGTGCTTTCATGTTCATCAGGTGTCACAAAATAAATGGAATAAACAGAACTCTGGAAAGTGTTTTTCGGTACAGTAGCTCAAAGAACACAACCTGATCTTTCTTACCACAGACTCTGTTTCTCACTGTCAGCTGTTACGCCACTCTGCAAGCTAAACAAACAAAGTAAAAATGTTTGGCTTCTTCTTAAGAAATACTTTTCTTATAGAAGTAGCACAGGATAAGCCAGTTTGGTTTGTCTCTGTGTGATATGTTTTTATACACGATAAGTAAATGATGATGTTACTTTAGTTCTTAGCTGCTTTTTCCTTCTTCTTCTTTTTTGTCCTTAACAATCTCAGAAGCTGCAGACACAGAGAGAGAAGATTAAAGATGGGAGAGTAGGGCAGGAAAATAGGAATAAGGAGCAAAAGGATGTGGCTTCACAGAAAGATAAGGCTTCCATAAAGAAAGACGGAGACAGAGAGATGATAAGGTTTGGGAGAGAAAAGTGATGAGGCAAGAATTGGAAACGGAGAACATAAAATGAAATCAAAGTCGTGACAGTGACAGACTGTAATGAGACTGTGGAGATGATATATGCATACGAGAC